GGCCTTCTGATGCCCAGTACCATCTCTGTTAGAGATGTTACCTCAGCAAAGCCCTGAAACTACCAGTGACCCAGCTGCAGAGGCCATCTGCAGACATGCTCACCCTCATGCTGTGGCTCATTCCCCAACCCTTGTGGCCTCCACCTACTTTGCTCAGTGTAGCCCACATTGCCAGACTCCTACATGTCCTCCCAAGGACCCATTCTTCCTGGCTTGCTCTGCCATTGCTTCCTCGTTGACAAAGTGGAGATGATGATAACCCTTAACTGAAAAGGTTTCCATAAGCATGAAATGAGGCAAAATGTAAAATTCTTCAAAGAGTACTAACCCGCAGGAAAAACTAAGGAAATGTTGGCCTCACTCTTTATAATTGTTATTGTTGCATAAATCAACATCATTTTCATCAGCATAAGTCTTCTAAGAGTTAAACCTCATTTAGGAGCAGTCCACAGGACTGTCAGTCACACTCCTCGTAATTGTTACTGTGGTCATAAATTACCCTGATCATCATCATCATCATAAGTCTTCCAAGAGTCAAGGCCTCTTTAAGAGATGTTCATAAGAGAGGTCCGACTGTGATTTGAATTCCATTTCTCTACCGTAATGTTACTGATGCCTATGGAAATCAAGAAATACGAATAGGCACCTATTTAGGTGCCCTTAAATTTTCATTAATACTTGGAGAGATCTCCACCCATTCTTTGACTAAAGGTTAAAACATCCTATGGCAGGGCACGTATAGAAGGGTCAATGGAGTATTAGCCCCAACCCATCTCCGATGCTTTGTTAAGTTACAACGACTGCCAAAGAAGAGAAACAGTCCATTCTGCGCTGATCGCAAAGACATTCAGAAGGACAGGAGCCCTGAGCTGGGGTCACTGGATCTATAGGAAGAGGTAACCCACACTAAAGAGGAAGAATACTCTGGGAAGAAGGCATCATAGGCCCGGAAATGAGAAACCATGGTGCATTCGTAGAATCGCAGAAGTGGAGGAAGCACCCTTCACAGACATGGTTCTGTTTTATGTATCCTGCAGATCTACCTGACACCATGTGGAGGATGAACTTGGGCTGAATACACGCAAAGGGATGAGTCTGAATGCTGTTTTGGGGTCAACAGAGAACATGACAAGGGCAAGGACTCAGGCAGGTCTCCAGGCAGAGGCCTCAACCTGGAAGAGGACTGAATGGCTCACTGAGCTGCCAGATAACACCCCATTGACAGGCCTGGAGACTGAGGAATGGGCCGTGGGTGCAGCATGAGCCAGATCATTGTACTGGCCAGAGGTGAAGGGTGGCTACTACCAAGAGGGACTTCATTATCCTCTTAAATAAAGCAGGACTTGACCATGATCCTAAATAAAAAGCATCATCTATATCATGTTCCTGCCTCCGGTCTGGATAGTTCTTGGGAATCATGAAGAAAAAAATGAAACCAAAATCTTTATTTGTAGGAATGATGAATCCAATAGCTTTTTGATCTGAAAATAGGTTCTGGGTGAGGAAAGCCAAGACAAAGTAAACTTTTAGCTCTAATGAAAAGCCCCAGTAACTTCTTTCCAGATGATTCAGAACCCTTAGACAATCACTCAATGGCCTGAAATCTGTTTAGGCAAGTCTGTGAAGACATGAAGAGATCATAATGTTCCCATTTGCAGGTAGTTATAACCTAGAGAGGTGAGTGCAAAAGCTGATATGCTGCAACAATAAATATCTCCAGATCCCTTGTCCCCCAAATTCCTAGCATCCTCCTGTACTATTGGGTGGACTGTTAGGAAGTTGACTAATTCAAATGCATACTGACCAATTTTCTTTTAATTGAAATGTTGATGTGACTACTTGGAAAGACATCTTCAGCTGGGTGCAGTGGCTCCCTCCTGTAGTCCCAGCACTTTGGAAGGCCAAAGCAGGTGGATTACTTGAGGTCAGGAGTTTGAGACCAGCCTGGCCAACATGGTGAAACCCTGTCTCTACCAAAAATATTTAAAAAGCCAAGTGTGGCAGTGCATGCCTGCTGTAATTCCAGCTACTCGGGAGGCTGAGGCAGAAGAATCACTTGAATCTGGGAGGGGGAGGTTACGGTGAGCCCAGATTGTGCCACAGTTGCACTCCAGCATGGACAACAGTGCCAGAGTCCATCTCAAAGAGAAAAAAAAGAGAGATCTCGGGAGTCAGATGGAGCAATTCCTATCACCATCAAAGGCAGAGGTAAAACCCAATTATATTTATTAGTCATTTCTACCTGTTATATGCAAATATGTCTGGAAATTGTGACTGGATTTTGTTTCATTTCCTGTAAGAAACCCTTCTACCCACTCTCTAGTATCATTGAGAGGCATGAATCAACATCGAAATTACCAATTACGAGACTTTTAAAATAGCCCTGTTTTTAAAAAAAAATTGTTGAAATTCTATTTTTGTTTAAAAATCCCTTTTGATGTGCTAACTAGGTTAGTCTATCACCTTTAATGAAGACTTGAATTTCCAAAGGTGCATTGCTGAAGCCAAGCAAACAAGTAGGTTATGGAAAAAAAAAAAAAAGACAGTGGAAGCTATACTATGCATTGGCTGTTCTCCAGAGAAGTATCAGTAAATGCTTGTATTATACAAATGTGGATTCATACATTAAAGATTTCCAAAATACAAAATAATTAAGCTTGATGAAGACTGGTATTATACATGGTAAATGGAAATAATCAGGCAGCGTCTTCATTCAACACTATTATTTAGCACAGGTTTAACACAGATTTATTGATTATGTACCATAAGCTGTGAGCTAGACATACAAGACACAGTGTAAAGAACCAAAAGTTGTCATGGTATAATTTTTCTTTCTAATCTGGAATTCAGTGATGTACTTTATACAAGACACTTTGGATGTAATAAATGAAATCAACTTGAGACAAATCAAATGATGGAAGGGGACAGGTTTTAGGAAGGTAGCAGATGATTTCATGAAATGTAACATACGAAAGGCAAGTTTTCCTAATGAAAACTAAACCGGTCTCACTGTCTTTCAGGACCATATGGCTTCTCTGTTGGGAGGCTCACTGCCACTGCAGAGTCCTCCAGTAGCACACAAGCCACTATGGCCACCATTGCCAAGCACCCACTATTGTATATCACAGACTTTGGGTTGCTTATTTCATATCCTCCAGAGTAAGAGCCCGGTTACTCACAGTCTGGTCAGGTCCATTTACGGTCCAATCAGGAAGTGGAAATTGATGCACAGGTTACTACACAGTTCCCTAGACCTGCTCCTACCAGGAGCTGGGGTTGGGTGAAATCATGTAAAAGGTGTACAGCATGAAAAAATGTCACACAGAAAGATTAGGAACATGAATTGAAAAGGTAAACCAGACCAATAGTGAAACAACAGCCTTCAAAGCTAACTGGATGTCAATTCAATGGTGCATGTGGACCTATAAAATCTGGCAGCCTTAGCTTTTCAGAGGTTCAGCTTTAACAGGAACTACTTCATATATACAAAATTCGATGTAGTAAAGCAAAAACACACTTAGAGCTGTTATTTTTCTCTCTTCCTAAATTCACCGACTTCAATTAGTCGAACTTACAAAACCAGCTTCAAATGAACACAATTGACTTTTCATTTTCATTATCCATCCTGCTTTGGTTAATCTGGATGGTCAGGCAAGTCTGTGATGAGTTTAACACACCACGTTATACGTATTTGTAGCAACATATACCTAGACATTTGGATGCAGAAGCAGATGCTTCCACGTATCCTAAATAAGGTTTTGTAATGAAAAATGATATTCCATCCATGTGGTTAACCCCACTTAACAACACAGAGTGCAGTGTTTTCTATTTAAAGAAAAAAACTAAGCAATGTTAAAAGTTTAATAGCATGGGACTCCAATACGTAATGCTCCAATTACAAAGTTATACTTTTACAAAGATAAAAAATTTTGGAGCAACGCATACAAAGATATTTTTATTCTTTTGTGGCAGCAGGTGGCTAAGAGTCCACCAAGTTCATGTTCCTGCTTCTGTAGACTGGCTGCTGACCCCAGGACCCTGCCCCACTTCCATCTATCAGGGGTCATGTGACTGATATTCTCTAATGGACTCTGAGTGCAGTGATGCAACTGACGATGCAATTCAGGATGGAGCCATAGGGGATGGCAAGGCCATCAAGTTAGAAAGAGGTCCGGAGTCACTATATGGAGAGGAAGTATCCTCAGGCGGCTACCTTGGAGAGAAACAAACCGCTAATGTGTTAAGTTCACTGCAATGTTGGAGTTTATGTGCTATAGCAGCTTTGGTTTCCTCCCTAAAAATGCAGTAGAGTGCCCAAAACAGATCATTTAACAAGAGCGTTTTTGAAAAATGGAAGTTAAACCTATGTCTCTTATGCACACATATACTTACGAAAGCTTGGTTCTAAGGAAGATAATTTTATTTTGTGGTCAAGTGGCTAAAAAGTGTAGGTTTTAAAAATAGACGTTTAATTATCTCAAGCTAATCACTAAGTGAAGAATCATTTATATTTATAAATGAGTAAATATTTTTAGGCATGGGAATTGCACATATGGCTAATCTTCAAGGGGTAATTTTGTAACTCAGCATTATGTATTAGCAAACAATACTGGTTCCATCAGAATGTTCTCACTTTTCTTTCATGAAACTGGAACTCTGGATCATTTAGAAAAAAAAAAAAAAAGAAGACTCAAACTGGGAGACTGTGACTTGGCAATTCCTGATTTCCAGCAAGCTGGCTGAATGCAAAGCCTTCCTTTGTCTAAAATTACGTATAATTTGCATTCAGGGCAAGCGTTAATTTTGTTAAAAGAGTTTCAAGTACAAATCAGGACACTTTGGACACCTTCTAAACATCTTAAATCAGGCCAGTTACAATTTCTTTCCAACATTTGAATGAATGTTCCAACTCCACCGCTGGGTTGGAAAGAAGAGAAACAGCACGATTTACTCGCAGCGGCAACTCAAAGCACAGACAATGAACAGAGCAGCGCCAGTACCTGATGCTGCTCATGCTGCCAGTCTCGGACCCCAGCTTGCATCGCTCCAGCTGGCTGGCTACGATCTGCCGTTCAGCCTCCAGCTCTCGGGTCAGCCTTTCAAACTGTAATTCCTGAAAGAAACCCACAACAAGACCAATTCAATCATCTACATGACAGGTGAAATTAAGACCAAAATGATAGGACGGTGGAGGGGGAAAATAGGATATTCCAAGATGTCAAATGTGAGAAATGTGCAATAAAACTAGGATTTGAAGGTGAGACAGACTTGTGGCCGGATGGCCGTGCGACTTTGGATAAGTTATCACGTAAGTATCAGTTTCATACTCTGTAAAACAGACTTAAAATACTTATTTAATAAGATGGAGATGAAGATTAAAGGAGATATTGTCATGAAAAATTTTCCTGTGCTGTCTTTGTCAGATGGTCAGCACCCGGCAGACACCAATACTCCTGACACCACAAGTATAGCATTTAATTAGAGAATAGTTCAGTTTTCAATTATCTTTCAGAGTATTGCGTTTATTCCCTACTGGCCTTCTGGCCGACTCTGTACTGTATACTAATGTTTTCTTCATATTACTTACATATTATAGATTAAAGCAAATAATGCTTTATAATCCACACTCTTCATATCTTTGCATTCCAGCAGAATGACAATAATATCAATTCTATACAGCCTCATTACTAAGTGGATAACCTTTGAGATATTTGATGTATTGCCTTAAAAATAGACAACTGAACCAAAGAAAAATGCTTCTACAAAGCTGCCTCAAATCCACTGTCAAAAAAGTTAACAAAAAATTCAATCAGAACTTCAAAAATCTCAGCTGTTCCAACTACAGGACTTTTGTACCATGTTTTAGTACTTATGCTTCCTTTTCCCATACATGTAGGTGTTTTAAAAACTAAAAATAACCAGAGAAAATCATGTATTTTAATAAGAAATGGCAGGGAAAGTTTTTACAACATCACATTTAATACCCTTTAAAAAAATTGTATAAACAGTCATGTTTTGGGGATGAGAAACAAGAATGCTTTAGCTTTCTCATACTGAAAAATAGCTTAGGAGTCAGTTTTGGAGATTTTAACCTCAGAAAGCGTGCAGGGATGTATCTTTCCAGAACATAAGATTTTATTTACTTGCTACCCCAGCATACTCTTGCATGAGATATTTAAAAAGTAGAATCTGGTGTGTCCCCTATTACATTAAAAATATCCTGGCTCTTTTCCATAGGTGAAGATTTTTTTTTTTAATGTGTGACATGATTTTGAGAATCGAAGTAAAAGACACTTTGCAAATGAGAGCTTAATTTTCCATTTAAGGCGCTAAAACCGAGGAAGCATTTTATTAACCTCAAACTTTTATTCTTACGTATTCTGAAGGTCATCAAGTATTATAGGTAAGAAATTAATAAGACCTCTGCTGAATGTATTTTACGCATCTAACTTCTCTTTCTTCTCAAAGTTCTACTGCTTTTTTTCTTTTTGGCAATTCCTTTTCATAATATCCAACTACTGGAAGATTTTTCATTTCTAGACTTATTAACATATTGTGACTTAAGTCTCTCTGTATAACAGGAAATCAACTCATACTTTTTTGTTTTTGAGACGGAGTCTCGCTCTGTCGCCCAGGCTGGAGTGCAACGGTGTGATCTCAGTTCACTGCAACCTCTGTCTCCTGGGTTCAAGAGATTCTTCTGCTTCAGCCTCCTGAGTAGCTGGGACTACAGGTGCTCGCCACCACACCTATCTAATTTTTTTTTTTGTATTTTTGGTAGAGATGGGGTTTCACCATATTGGCCAAGCTGGTCTTGAACTCCTGACCTCGTGATCCGTCCACCTCAACCTCCCACAGTGGTGGGCCCACTCATACTTCTAAATTAATAACACTTTTAAAAATATAATACTCAAAGACACTACAGAACTCCTCACAGGCTGATGGAAATTCATTCTTTGCAGCATCTAAAGTACTTTAATTTGCTGCCCACATTCCTGTGTTACAGAATTTCAACATGGTGAAACTGTGCAGCCATTGGAATCAGAATTCATAAACCTGGGGCTTCTGCTAGGACAGATGCTGCTCTTGGGCATCCGTGCTTCAGGCTGTGACCTCTCCATTACCTCTTGTCAGTCTCACAGGAGGGGTGACAATGGGAGATGGCTTTCTCATTTGTGAGCTTCCTTCCCAGCACTCAGTCAGATTTCAGGACTCTTCACCCATTCATGCAGATCTGTAGTTGCATCTGGCTTCATTTTCCTTCCCTCTGAAGGAAAAACCTTAGAGTTGTTCTTCTGGTGCAGTTCCCTGGGTAAAGAAGTCTTCTGTCTTGACAGATCTTAAAAAGGTATGTATCTGATTCTCTCATTTTGGATGACATTTTTGCTCTAACAACAACAAAAAAATACAGTTATCCTTAACTGTATTTCTCTGTATGTCCATAGCGTTCCTTTTTATTTTTTCTCTGCTTTTAAGATTTTCTCTCATCAGCAGCACTGGGCAATTCAATGATCGTGTTGCTTGGTGTCGCTTTCTTCATGTTTCTTATGCTTAGGTTACTGAGCTTGGATCTCTGGCTTTGTAGATTCCACTATATCTGAACATTTTAAGCCATTATTTCTTTAAGAATTGTTTTTCTCTTCTCCACTATTTCCTTCCCTTCAATGACTCCACTTAAGTGCAATTTAGGCCACTTGGAATTGTCCCACAGTTCATGGATTCTCTTGCAATTCAACTTTTTTTCCTTTTGCATGTCATTTGGGTAGTTTCTATTGGTGTCTTTGAGTTAACTAAGCTTTACTTCTGCAGTGCTTAACCTACCATTTATCCCATCCAGTGTACATTTATCTCAGACACTGATGAATCAAACATCTCTAGAAGTTTCATTTAGATTTTTTTTGTATCTTTCGTGACTTTAACTTTCTGCACGTGCTGACTATACTTATATTATCATTTTGTTAATTCTAACATCTGTGCTAGTTTCAGCTGATTGATTTTTTTTCTCCCCAGTCTGGGTCATATCTTCTGCTCCTCTGGAGATGTGATAATCTTTCAACACAGACATTTTCACTTTACCTTCTTGGGTTCTGGATAGCTTTGTATTCCTGTAATTGACTTCAGCTCTGTTATGAAGCACATTAAGTTATATAAAAGCAATTTGATACTTCTGAGCCTTGCACTTTAGATTTGTTAAGGGGAACAGAACAGCATGTAGTCTAGTGCTAATCATCCTGCCCTACCAAGGCAAGACACTTCTGAGACTCAACTCTCCATGGACTCTGGGGTCTCCCAGCTTGGCTGGTGGGTGCTGGCATACATTCCCAGCTCTCTGTGAGTACCAGGCACAATTTCCTCACATTCTTTCAGATGGTTCTTTCTCTGGCCTCTGGTAGTTTCCTTACATATAAGGGATGCTCAGTTGTCTGCTGAATATGAAAAGGGGCAGATTGCCTTTCTGATATTTGGACCCATGAACTCCCTGGACTCTTAGCACTGTCATAACTACTCAGGCCATGCCAGGGTTCCTCCTTTCTGCACTGCTGTGGGGAAACTCTCTCAAGGCAATCATTTCCTACTTTACCCCAAGCCAAGGGTCTATGGCTTACAGGTAAAACTGTTTTGGCCTTGGCATACCACTGGGGCTGGGATCTATCAAGATGTAACCACCCTGCCCTGGAATGGTATTCTCTTTGGAGTACATAACTGAGCTTGTGAATGGGAACAAGAAGAGCCAGGATGAAAGTTCTTTAACTTGGAATGACTGATTGATTTTTCAATTGAGGATTGCTTTTTCTTCTTAGTATAAGACATTCTTGTGGCCTAAAGGCATCTAGAGAAGACAGAGCACCTTCACAAGAATGGATGAGATTCTATTGCACTAGAGGATACTTAAAACTGTGGGGTAACTGGAAAGATGACAGCATCCATCTCTAACATAGTTTGGGGTTTGAGGGAGGAGAGGCCTCTCAGGAATGAATAAGCTGCTGAGTTTCTAGGAAAATTTGAGATGGAACAGCATTCAAGAGAGAGATGTTGCCAATAAGGGCAGGTGAGTACACAAGAAGTTAATTGGAAAATTAGAAGTATGTAAATTATATTTAGTAAAACTTGTAATTCTGGTTACAAGTAAATATGTACTATTAAATTAATTCAGTGAAGGCGAGACTGTAAAGAAAGAAGAAGAAATATCTTTAAAGGTTATATAGATTTGCAAGGTAGAAGAAACAATAGAAGCCAAGAAAATAAATAGAAGAGTAATTCTTGTGCAAAGGACTACTAGTATGGTCTTCTCTTGGGTAATTCCGGTGGAGAAATGGTGATGTAAATTAGGCTCTAAAAAACGTAATACAGAGACTGCCCAGAGACATTAAGATTTCATGGGAATTTAGTGTAGCTGGTGGTTTGGAGAAGACATCCAATGGTTAAAAAAAAAAAAAGTTATAACAAAAAGCAGAGCAATGCTAGAGAGCCTAAATCTTCCCACTATGTAGAAATTAATTTATGTAAGAGATCATAAATATTCATGAAAGCATTGGAGACATGATGCAAAAGTTCACTAAAATGTACAAAGACCCAGGTTTAAATGGTTTCATCCTAGAATAGCATATTATTGTCCCATATAATAATACATTCGGGTTATTACAAGAAAAATTATCAAATAATTTATAACTTTTCCTAAAGAGTCTAAATTGATGATTTATTTGGTTTCATTAAATGGACTTAGTTAACTTAGTATGAAACTGAAATTAAAAAATTCATGTTCATAGTTTCATTACTTCCTTCAGTAAATATGTTACTTAACTTTGTGCTGTAGCATTTGTTGGGATGGTACGAGCCAGATTTGAGGAAGCATAAAAATGTACAATTGTTAAGTCTTAACAGTATTGAGGCTTATTCACTTCTATGGTCTAAATGCCTGTGTCTCCATACCTTGCCCAAGACTCGTGTGTTGAAATGCTAACCCTCAATTGAGGATATTAGGAGTCAGGGACTTTGGGAGGTGAAAGGACGAACCAGGAAATGGGCCTTCACCAGACACCAAATCTGCCTGTGCCATGATCTTGTGTTTCCCAGTCTGCAGAACTGTTAAGAAATGTTTCAGCTATTTATAAG